TTTGTTTAAGCCCGGTGGCATTGAGCTCACTCATGTCTTTGCTTTCTCTTGTCTGCACAGGGAAAGAAGTTCTTTAACTTTGGGAAGATTCTCTTCAGCAACACCACCATTTTCCTGAGATGTAAGTAAGCACGGGAGATTAACCTGGTCTGCTGGCTGTTTGGCGCTGCCCCTGCTTAATGTTTGGGACTTGAAACATGGATAAGCTTTTAATGGCGCTGCTGGTGGTGGCAGATACCCTCCCGATGCTAGATGGAGGCTGCTGGCCTGATAGGGGAGGGAGTGTTAGCAGCCTTGAAGCCTCCCAGTTTGGGCTGTGGCAGGAGCATGTGGTTCTGCTCTGACTGCCTGTGGAAAGGGTAAGAGTGGCCATGGGAGCCCTGCTTCACTTCAGATAGAGCGTACTTGGGTGTAGGATGTGCTGAGCCCCTAGTGAGGTGTCCCTGTGGGATTTCCGGTGTGTTAGATTGTTCTGGGAGGTTTGGCACTGAATGGCATTGAGTCTTTTGCACTGCAGGGTGGCTGATGCCCAAAGTGCAGGAGGTCATGCTTTTGAGACCCTGTCCTTTGGAGCTCATGCTTCCAGGAGTGGTAAGGGAATGTGCCTGGATGCTGTGCTAGAGCCCCTCTGAGAACTGAGTGAGCTAAGGGGATTTTTTTTTTTCTGTTTGTTCTTTAGCTCTTCTCTGACTTGGCCAGGGCTATGGGTTTATTTGGGTTTCTGCAATAGACTGAGTTTTTGTAAAATAGCCTTCCCTATGTGAACATGCAGACCGCGTTGACGTGGCAGTCTCATGTTGGATGTAGGCATCCTGTGGATGTAAACAGATGATTTAAAGGCTGAAATCTTTCCCATGCACTTTGAGTGCTTGGGGGGGTATTTGCACCAGAAAGTCACCTGCTCTTTTTGGCATGGTGCCTTAAAGGGAGCTTGGTTAAGTACCTCTATTAATCCCATATGAATCTAAAATTGGAGACTCATAGTGGCGTAGTTATTAGTGAAGGCTCATCATTCGGGATTAGGATTTGTCCAGTATAGCTCAAATGTCAAGTTTCACAGCTTGCAGCTAGACAGCTACAAACTGCATAATCAAAATGTAGAAATCTGGTGCTTGGAGGGAAAAAGGGTTTTGAAAAGGGTGTCTAGAGCTTTCATTATTATTATTTTTTGTCTAATGTTTAATAAAAATAATGACCTTACACTAACATGACATGTAAAACTTGGAATCCGACTGTAACCTCTCTGGTAAACCTGGTTATGAGGTATACGAGTGAAATAACCAGGAGAAGGAAGGAGTCCATGCGCTAGGGGAAATAGGATTTGCTTCATATAAAACAGCTTTGTGGCAGAACTGACAGTAAGAATCACGTCTCCTGACTCCTGTTGTGGGCTTCATCAACTTCACTGTGCTGTCAGCCTTTAAACAAGGATGAAGCTCTAAAATTCTATAGTGAAGATGCCTATTTCACATCCTAGTGTAATAAAAAGATTTTTGTGAGTTTAGATAGTGAATCACTTGCAGACCCGGGAGCAAAGGCTAAGGATCTAAATTCAGTTTTTCAGCCTAGATGATACTTTTATCTGATACTGACTGCCCAGGAACGGTGTGTAAACTGCCTTTCCTTCCTTCTTTGCTTTTGTCCATGTGGAAAGTGGTGACTTCTGTTTGCTCTCTGTTGCTTCTTCCATTTGTTCTGTAGCGTTCGCCTAACAACCTTGCCCTTCTTGCCAAGCAAGATTTCTCATGTGTTCCTGGTGTTTTTTGTATTTCCTTCTGCTCTTTCATTTCCCCTTCTTGATTTTTATGTTGTATTCCATGTACTGGCCTTTAATGATTTCCTCAGCTTCTGACTGGGAAAGACTGCCATCGATACTTATTATTGTCCGTAATTAATTTATTTTTATCTGCTACTTAAGTGTTATTTTTGTAGGCATCTGACTCCCTATCTAGGATAGTGCTATACCCTGTTTTCACCGGTTAGCACAGAGCCTGCGTTTGAACCAAATGTTGCTGGTTTTTTGTTTGAAGATTAATGAACTTAATTTCCATGTTGCTGAATATCTTTTCTTTGGTAGTGCTTCTTTAGGATTTCTATCAGTAGTTAAAATGTTTGCCTAGAATGATAGATTGTTACAGATGTGTTTTGTTTTGTGTTTTTATTGGCGTTGCTGCTGAACATAACAGTTTCAATAATCTCTGTCTTAATGTTTGGTATTTTTTAATCTATACTGTTTTAATTTGTGGCACTTGTTTGAAATGTTCCTCACTTGGCCAATGTTATCAGAAAAGCCTTTTAGGAATTTGCCGTCTGACAACATCACTGTGGTGTTTGTGTTGCCTTTTCATTTCTTTGCTGTTTCATTTGTCACATCTATGACTATGTAGAGAATGTATGCCCGGTTTTCAGACTTGTCAGGAGGAGTCATAAGAAGACTTTCATTTTTCAGAAATTGCATTCCATTCTTTTTTAAATCTTTGCTATTAGGGGCTCAGTTGTTGACTACTAGAACAAGCATAGGCAGAGCTAAGTACTCGTGGCTTAAAGCAGGGTTAGTCAGGTAAGACTCCATAGCAGGGTCTTTTAACTAGTCACGTGTTTCTCTGCTACTATGAACGTGGAAATGTCCATTAGCAGAAATTCTGTACCTCTAATAAAGCCTGTGGGCTTCTAGTTTGACTCGAATGTCTGCTGTGAAGGTATGGTTTTTTTTGGCTGCTAATCAACTCATCTTTCTGAGCAAAAACACATTTTTTTGACTTTGGGTATTTTGAATAACAATTCTTTAAATGACTTTGGGTATTTTGAATAAACACTTCTCATTTTATTTACATGCTAAGTCTACCTTAATATAAGATTCTCTTTGTTAGGCTTTAATTTCAAAATGATATCTGAAGCAAAAATCACATGATAAACATTTTTTACAGATCAAATTCCTGTGTTTTATCTTCCATCTCTATTGTTCTTTAATAAATCAAAAATGAAAATTGTTGTGTAGATAGTGCTGTCATTTTGACAGTGACCTGATAAATGGATAGCTTGTTTGTGGATATTGACTTGCAAACTTTTACCTCTTACTGTCTGGGTGATGATATTGGTATGCTTAAATATTGCTATA